CGATGTAAGTATAAACATGTTTGCATTATTTTTATAAATTTATGATTTAAATATTTATTTTTTGTTCAAATAGATTGTTAAGACAGCCGTTGCATTTTTAAACGTATTACGAACATTAACATAAACGTTCTTTAAAGTAGAATGCAAATGAAATATTTGCTATATATTTAAATAATATCAATATAGAAATAAAATTCAAATTTTGATAATTAATGTTTATAATATAATAAAATTCATTTGTAATATTATTAATTCTACCATTATATTGTATAAATTGATATTTTACATTAAATTTAATACATGCACAATCCTATAATTTTATATATTATTTTTTGTTTTAAAATTCTTGCCGACAAACTTGAAACAAATAATTTTTATGCAACTTGTCTTATAATAATAATCTATTATTTGTGTAATGTTTTTCACAAAATTATTACAATATAAATTTATGTATCCAATATTTAAAAAACATAAAAAGCTTATTCGAATGAAAATTCATTCTTCAGAAATTGATTACTTCAACCTGTTGCGAAATGGTCAATACACTCGTGCACTACTAACGTTTGAAAAAAATCAATTTATCGATGATTCCACATCATCAACCCTTATCATATTCATAATTCATAAACCAGCAAACTAATAATCAAGAGGGGTCGAACTTCTTTGAAAAATATTATTTTCATCCACCCTTTCGAATCGAAATTCGAGCGCAAGCGCAATGCGATTTTCCATTTCAATCATCATCGAACCACCGACATTTAGTATCCAGCGAGCTCTCGAGCATCAACAATGGAAAAACAACAGTGCGTCATCGCGCAGGATGACGGTAAGAAAGCGAATTTGAGCATACAGTGGAATCGTTGGTTGTTGACATCGATCGGTGCCTGGCCAAATTTACGCAAGTCGAGAATAGGAAAATGTTATTCTTTGTTGATCAGTATTATTTGTTACGGTTTGATCGGTTTCATGCTCGTGTCTTGTAGCATGTTTTTGATGATGGAAATCAAGAAGGTATATAACAGAATCAAAATGATTGGTCCATTGAGTTTCTTCTTGATGACATTCATGAAATATTATTTGCTATTACTCCATGAAAATGATATACGTGAAGGTATCGAATGCATCGAATGGGACTGGAAGAACGTGAAACATCAAGAAGACAGAAATATCATGATCGCGTATGCGAATTATGGAAGAAAATTAGTATTTATTTGCATATTTTTCATGTATAGTGCATTTGCATTTTACTATCTAGTCTTACCGTTTAGCGTGGGGAAAATAGAAGATGGAAATTTGACATTTATTCAATTACCATTTCCTTCGTCAAGTTTGATCGCTGATGTACATTACAGTCCTTACAATGAAATCGTATTGTCCGTTCAAATTCTGACAGGTGTTGTGATGCACGCTATAACATCGGCAGCTTGTAGTATAGCCGCTGTATTCGCAGTGCATGCATGTGGACAAATGCAGGTGTTGATGAACTGGTTGGATCATTTAGTGGATGGCCGATCGGATATGAGCAAGGCTATAGATGAAAGGATTGCAAATATTGTAATTCAACATGATCGAATATTGAAGTGGGTAATATTATATATATTATGTATATTATTATATTGTTGTAAATTTTACCAAAAATTTAATGTTGTTGAGAAAAAATCCTTTAAAACAAATATAAATATGATTTGTTATTTCTGAGAGATTAAATACGATCGTAAAGGGTTGAAGTTTCTTGTTTATAAATACGATCGTATTTCATCGCGTGACAATAAGTTAGGGGACAAAAAACGTCGCAACTGTTGCCGGCATGGAAAACTTTTCAGCAACATATAACAACTTAAATATTCACCAAAGAAATCGAATCTGGTTGCTATGTACAATTAAAAGTTTGTGTCTGAAATTTTTTATTCTTCGATTTATGAAATGATAATAAATGATAATATGATAATATAAAGTACATTTGAAAATAGATGTTTATAAAAATTAGAAATAATTTTTAAATTAAAAATTTTAAAGTATTAAAATTAAAATTAAAAATTTGAATCGTTTGATATTTGAATCTTATATAAAATAACTTTTAGCATGTTTATTGTATTTCAGATTTTTGGCACTTACAGAAAAAGCGCTTCAGCAAATATCTTTTGTAGAATTTTTAGGTTGTATTGCGAATATGTGTCTTCTCGGATATTATTTAATAGTGGTATGCGATAACAAATTTTAATAGGCACATAGAATTCTACACTCAGAATTCTATTTCTATATATATTTTTTATTTTAATATTGCATTGATTATATATGTTATTAATTTGTAGGAATGGAATCCGAAAGAAATAATACTTTCAATAACTTACGTAGCTTTAATCATATCTATCACTTTCAATATCTTCATATTTTGTTATATAGGCGATTTGGTTGCCGAACAGGTAGGATATTCTTATTGGAAGCATCTGTAACAATATTTCAATTAATTTTTAAAACGATAAATTGTTCAAATAGTATTTAATAGAAATGAATAATGTCTCGATTTAGTGTCAGAAAGTCGGTGAAATGGCGTATATGATCGAATGGTATCGATTAACAGGCAAAAAAAAACTTTGCTGCATTTTGATCATTGCAATGTCCAATTCATCGATAAAATTTACAGCTGGAAATATGGTTGAATTATCCATCTATACTTTTAGCGATGTAAGTATCTATATTTTTATCTTTCATTCAAATTTATAGATTATTTATAGATTATAAGTTAAAAAATCTTAAATAAATAGGTCATTAAAACATCGGTGGCTTTCTTAAACATGTTTCGAGCATTAACTTGAACATTTTTTTATAATAAATATTTAAATTGGTAGTATGTAGATATTAGTTGTGGAAAATTCACATACTTGTATATATTGTATTAGAGATTCAATGAAACTGATATTTTAAATATGATGAAACTCATTACCCTAACCTCACTATTCCTCGTATTAAAAACAATTTCAAAAAGACATATTCATCTTTCTCATCAAGTATTACTTAACTTAACTTGTCAATTTATTTTCATTTATAAAAATAAAAGAAATGATGAAAAAAACAACAAAAAAAAAACAAATTGAAATCACTTCATCACATCAATCCATTATATCTTACTTTTATTGCACTACTGATTAATCGCATATTCTCGTCAAGATGCAACCAAACATTTGTATTATAGCGATTCGTATCAAAGAAAAAAATTCGCGCATGCGCCATTTTACCTGACTATTAGAGCTTAAACTCAAGTCATCATTTATTCGACGAACGTCCTACGTGAAGTATCTATGATGAATCAACTAAACGATCAATCTGTCTTAATACCCGTGTCTTATGTCCGAGATTACGAGTACAGCATTCAGGTGAATCGTTGGTTATTAAAACCGATCGGTGCTTGGCCGAATGTCACGAAGACCACAAGAACTAAAAAATTACTCGTCAAATTATTAAACTTTATCTGCCATTCGCTGATTATTTTCACGGTGATGCCATGCGTGATGTATATTTTCTATGAAGACGAAAATTTGAAGACCAGGATGAAGGCAATCGGGCCAACAAGTCATTGGATGATGGGGGAATTGAATTATTGTTGTCTATTGATGAAAGCAAAGGAGATTGTCTATTGCATTGAACATATAGAATATGATTGGAAAACAGTTCGAAAGGCTAGAGATCGAGAATTGATGCTAAAGAACGCCAAACTCGGTCGTTTCATCGCGTGCATCGCCGCACTTTGCATGCATAGCGGAATTATGTCTTACATCGTGATCACAGGTTTCAAAAAGATAACATTTCAAATTGGAAATGACAGCTACTCGATGTATCGGTTACCTTGTCCATTCTATACGAACCTGTTAGATGTTAGATTTAGTCCCATGAACGAGATCGTATTCGCTCTACAGCTCGTCTCCGGATTCATTTCAACCTCGGTCACAGTTGGAGCTTGCGGACTGGCTGCCGTATTAGCAATGCACGCATGTGGTCAGTTTAACGTGGTGATGTCCAAATCGGATAACTTGGTGAAACATAACAATGAGAAGAAACAGGATGAACACACGTTTCATAAGAAGCTTGGTTTTATCGTTGAGCATCATCTACGAACATTAAGGTAATTTATTAGTATATTTTTTTTATGTTTATTGATAGTGATAATATATATCGCAATGAAGTATTTGTATTTCTCAATTTGAAATTCAATAATGAATATTTTCTATAAGTAATATGAATATGATATAATAAATAAACATGCACTTATATTATTTTTCTAAACTATTATGAATATCTTGATACTTATGATGCTCATGGTATTTTTTAAAATATAGATTTTTTTTTAATTAAATTTTTTTTCTAAAATCTTATAGAATTATAAATTTATTATTTATATTATTTTTATTATTTTTTTATTTCGAGTTCCCCAATTAATTTATTTATACATTTATTATCCTATGATTTATACACAAAAATATTGGTTTCAGTCTTGTATGGTATATGGAAAAAGTTATGAATATGATTTGCTTGGTTGAATTGGTGGGATGTACAATGAACATGTGTATACTTAAATATTATTTTCTCACGGTATGTTTTAACGCAGAAATATAGAAAAAAACATAATATAATATAATATAATATTTGAAAATATTTTTACAATATTTTTATTTTAAATGATTTAAATTTTTAAATGTTTTTACACACGTATACATATACATATATTAAACGGGAAATATAATCATACGATGACTTTTCTAGTTAATTTTCGTAAATTTCATAATTTTCATAATTTCTTAGGAAAAATCAAAGACAATATTAGCTATATACGCAATCGTATATGCATCTATGGTTTTTAACATATTTATATTTTGTTATATAGCAGAGATAGTTACAGAACAGGTAAGAGAGTAAAATTAAAGAAGAATCTTATTTAAAACTTAAAATTAAATGCTCAACAGGGCAAAAAAGTGGGAGAGAAATTTTATATGACTGAATGGTATCAATTACCTCATAAAACTGCTCTCGGCTTAGTATTAATCATCTCAAGATCGAGTATGGTAATTAAAATCACTGCTGGAAAATTCATACAAATTTCTATCGCGACTTTTGCTGCTGTAAGTATTGATATGAAAACATTTTCTGTATAATCTTATATACGAACTTTATTTTTTAGGTATTTAAAGCATCTTTTGCATACCTCAACATGATCCGTACAATTGCGATGTGAATGTTTTGTGTTACTATTACTATAAAAGTTCACAGTTCTTAGGTCAAGACCATTTCTTATGCTACAGTTGAGAAGATTACCACAATCTTTTTCTGAACACATGTTTGCGTGCTCTTCTGTGACAAATTCTAACGACTAGACAAATCGATTGAATATAGAGTATTATTCAGAAAGAAAATGTACATCAAGCAATTTCTTACACTAAACTTTACTTCGATGAACATCTTAAATCCCTGATTATAAAAACTATAATTTTTTTGAAATTAATCGATATCTAGCTCACTTTTTTCTCTATTTCAAATTTTATTCTTCTTAATTATAAGATTAGAGAATATTTGTATTTATAATAATTTCATAATTTTAAAATTATGAGATCTTAAAATTCGAATAAATATTAACGCAAATTATAATTATATGTATACATATATATAGTTATAATGATGCATAATCTAACAATTTTAACATGTATAAATCTTTATAGCACTTCACGTATTCATATACTTCCCATATTCTCATACATTGCTTTTATCATACACTTCATGCACACCCTTCACTTCACACGATTACAACCTACAATTTTCAACTTACCTGAATATTTCTCCGAAAGAAATTTAACCGACTAGACGAATCGATCGAATACTAAAAAAACTTGCGCAAGCGTTGAATAATTTCACGTATATCAATGCATGAATACCGCACATTATTGTCAACTTCATTTCACGATGATGAACCAAGCCGCGATCACAGACGAAACTAAAACTAACAGTGATTACAGTCTTCAGTTGAATCGATGGTTTCTAAAACCAATCGGTGCTTGGCCTTTGTTCTCCACCACCACAAAACTTGAAAAAATCGTTTCGTTAATTTTAAATATCGTATGTTACGCGATTGTGATATTATGCGCGACTCCTAGTCTGATGCAAATAATCTTAGCCGAGGAAAGCTTTTATCTGAAATTAAAAACACTTGGTCCTGTGAGCCATTGGTTTGTTAGCACTGTTAATTACACAGCTTTATTAATGAAAAGTAAAGACATACGTTATTGCTTCGAGCATATGGAGGCTGACTGGCAAACAATAAAAAGAATGGAGGACCAACGAACGATGCTGAAAAATGCAAAATTTGGCCGCTATGTGGCCGCCTCGTGCGCCATCTTCATGCAAGGTGGCATTTTGTGTTTTTGCTTCGTGACTATATTGACGACAGAGACTATTCAAGTAGGCAACGAGACGAGAGTTCTTCATGTGCTACCTTGTGCTGTGTACAAAGAACTGGTAAACGTTGAGGAAAGTTCCATCAACATTTTTATGCTTTGTTTCCAATTTGTGGCAGCCGCCATCGCAAATTCCAGCACAGTTGGAATTTTCAGTCTCGCGGCTGTTCTTGCCGCTCATGCATATGGTCAATTAAGTGTGGTTATGGTATGGATCACGGAATTCGTGAATCAATCGAGAGAGCAAAAAAAAACAGATGATTTTAAGGAAATAGGAATGATCGTAGAACGACATTTGAGAGTGTTGAAGTAAGATTTTTTTATGATGGTTTTATATATTTTCTCAGACTTTTCTATGATTATGATATGATTTCAATTGCAGTTTCATAACATATCTTGAGAATATAATGAATCGGATATATTTTTTGGAATTGTTTAGGTGCACGATGATCATATGTATAGTCGGTTATTATATTCTTACGGTACACGCTAAAAATGATTTTATTTCTCTTGTATTTTAATCTCGTTTTATTATTATTTTGTGTTATATCTCTATTTTAGGAATGGGCGGAAAAAAATGTTCAAAATCTAACCACCTATTTCATGATGCTTCTCTCGATTTGTTTTAACATTTTTATTATATGTTATATTGGTGAAATATTGACAGAACAGGTATCAAAGTTATATACTATAAATAGTTCATGTTATAATATACATTGAAATGCAATGGATGAAAATCATTATCATAATCAATCGATTGAATTCTCAATAGTGCATGAAAATTGGTGAAGTGGTTTACATGACAGATTGGTATTATTTACCCGATAAAACAATCCTTAATTTGATTTTGATAATAGTACGATCGACTGTCGTAGTCCAAATCACTGCTGGAAAATTATTTAATATGTCCGTTTATACTTTCGGTGATGTAAGTTTGATAGTTGTATTTATAGATAATCTTTAATGTAATCTTCATGAAATATTTTACTATTTCAGGTGTTAAAAACTGCTTTTGCATATTTAAATCTGCTACGACAAATGACGTGATAAAATAAAATTTTTAAAAATATTGATATATTAAATTTATAAAATTAATTATAAAAATTAAAATTTCTTTATATATTCATTTCATTTTACAATATAATAAAAATACAATCGCAAATAAAAATAAATTACTTTTTTACAATATAATCTCAATATACAATATAATGTTACGAAAAAGTCAATTATAATGTAAGTAAGATTTTGGAAAATTTTGAAATTGAAATTAGGAATTAAGTTATTTCGAAAATAATTTATTCGAAATATCGAATAATCACGATTAATTACAATTAATCAAGATTATTCGAAAAATTGTATAATTTCTCTATAATTGTTAATTAATTATACCTGGGAATAAAAATTAATTATCGCAATAATTTTAACTTGAGTTTATCAAAGACTTCGAATAAATCAGGATAAAAAAATTTTTTTTACATCATCAATAATAAATAAAACTAATATTTTAATCATAAATAATAAATAATTTTCATTTACATAAAAATTATTTAAATATTTATAAAAATAATTTATTTCTTATTTCTTGTATAATATTAATTTTCAAAAGTTGATTAAGTTTTTATTTAAATAATAAATAACATAATAAAAAACGAATATTTTGACTAAATATATAAAGCAGCTAATTTTTTTATTTATATATAATCATCAAATAATTTCAATAATAATTTTTTTTTTTTTTACATAAAATTTTATTTTCATAACTATTCGAAATCAAGGAATCTTCATCGATTTTAATAATTTTTGGAAATGTTATAAAAATTAATATTTTGAATAATTTTTTTCTGTGTATGTTATCACTGTTCGACTTTAGTTTTCGAGATATTTATAAAAAAAAGATTGCTATTGTTTTATTTTTGACTTATTCGAATGTCTTCGATAAAATTAAATTGAAGTGACAGTTGTAGTAATTAACTTTTATTCATAGCTATAGTTGACTGTTCTTCAAACAATCTTGATTAATTATCAATCGAAAATTAATTTATTCAAATATTTCAAATAACATTATTAATTAAAGTATTTTATTTGAAACTTTAACTATTAATCTTTACTTTAAGTTTACTTTAATTATTTTTTCAATTTATGCTCATTAATGTCCAATATTACATCATTTAATATTATTGTCGAAGTAAAATTATTCATTGAGTTAGACTTTCACACTTCTTTCCAAACATTTTAACTATCGATTATCACGATATTTCATCATTTTTGAAATAATTAAATCTATCAAATGACACTGAAATTAATATGCATGTTCATCGATCATAAATGCGTTCACCACTGCAACAAGTAATAGCGACTAGACAAATCAATCAGTTCTTCCAAGAAACCTGCGCAAGCGTTAGAACTGTCACGCACGTCGTGAGAAAAATATCTTCGATTCAGTTGTGTTTATAACGTCGATGAATAGCCACGATGTCAAACAGATCCGTGGCGATAAAGACTGATTCTGATACCAACAGCGATTATTGTCTTCAATTGAATCGTTGGTTTCTGAAACCGATTGGAGCTTGGCCCAGTTTTCCCTCTACAACTAAACATGAAAGAATCATCTCTTTTTTTTTGAATGTCTCCTGTTACAGTTCTTTACTATTCACCTTAATTCCTTGCCTGCTTCATATGTTGTTAGAAGATGAAAGTTTTTACTTGAAAATGAAAGTACTTGGGTCACTGGCTCATTGGTTTGTTGGCACAATGAATTATACTACTCTATTGTTAAGAGGTAGAGAAATACGATTATGTGTCGAACATATAAGAACTGATTGGCAAACAGTAATAAGGGAAGAAGATCAACAAGTAATGCTGAAGAATGCAAAATTCGGCCGCTACGTTGCAGCTATTTCGGCGGCTATATTGCAAAGCGGAGTTCTATGCTTTTGTTGCATGACAATTTCAAGAACAGAACTCATTCAAATTGGCAACGAAACAAGGATCGTGCATGTGCTACCCTGTGCTGTGTACAAAAAATTAATAGATGTAACTCGCAGTCCTAATAGCGAACTCATCATTGCTTCACAATTTTTATCAGGATTCATTGTAAACTCCAGTACTGCAGGAATTTTCAGTCTCGCAGCTATTTTAGGAGCACATGCTTGTGGCCAATTGAGTGTAGTTATGACATGGATCACGGAATTTGTAAATAAATCGAAGAAAAGAGAGAAAATGATTTTTAGAGAAATAGGCCTTATCGTGGAGCATCATCTAAGAACATTAAAGTAAGGTTTTTGTATTTTTGTATTTTCTAAGAAGCACAAACTATATAGACTATGAACTGATAATCTCTTAATATGAGATATATAATTCTCAATAAAATTTTATATTTATTTCACTAAAAATATTTTAAATTATAAATGTCTTTGGTAATTATAAAAATAAAAAAATTAAAAATCTAATATAATTGGTTTTTAATAATTTATAAATGTTTAATAGAAATTTTATCTTAATGTTTCATCAATATTGCAATTATATAATTGAAAAAATAAGATAACATGCTAATACTGTTATATGCTATATAATGAAAAATTTTTATTGATAAACATAGTAATATATAAAAACATCAATTATTATGAGTATCGCTATCTCATCTGATCTTTAATTAAGCCATATTTGTAATATATCTTTTTAAATAAAATTTCTTTATTATGTTCTTTATTATGTTTATCATGTTATTTTTTATTATGTTCATTCAAATATCATTTTCATGATTATGTTTTAATTACAGTTTCATATC